GCACCTCTTAGGCTACCTGGGGACCTCTTGGGGCCATCCCGGACGCTCCCGCGACCCGCGACCAGGGCCGTCCAGACCCAGGGGGAGGAGGTGGGGGGAGAGATACCCCCCCGAAGGGAGCGAAGCGGTTAGAAGACTTGCCTCTTTCCAACTTCCCTTCCCCTTTGTCGTCATCTGCTTCGCTCTCCCGTACCCACTCCCATATCGTTATCCTGCTCGTCGTCTTCGCCCTACTGCTGTTCAGCCGCATCTGTGCCCAAACACCTCTGCCCCTGGGTGTAGTCATTGTACACTCGAGCATCGGTACCCAAACACTTTCAGTTTCTGTCTACGCAACGGTGCAGGCTGCCCATTTTATACTGTCCCCGATGCGCACGTTGTATTCAGCTGCCTGTGGCACGTCCCGCCACCGTGCCAGCCCAGCATTCTGGGTGGCGATGTTTCGAGGAGGGATGGGAGACCGTCGCTTCTGGCACCTCGTGTCTCCAAGCTTGAGAGAGCCATGGTGAGGATGAGGATGGGGCTGAGGATGAGGATGATGGTGATAATGATGGTGATGGGGTTGGTGATGGTGATGCTTCTGATGAAGGTAGTGATGGCGATGGTGCTGGTGATGTTGATTGATGGTGGTATTGGTGATGGTGATGATGTTTGTGGTGGTGATGAGACTGAGGATGAGGATGTGGATGAGGATGAGGATGATAATGCTGATAATGATGCTGATGCTGCTGATGCTGATGGTGAATCAGATGGTGGTGATGGTAATGATGATGCTGATGATGTTGCTGCTGACGATGACGATGTTGATACTGTCGAATATGCTTATGATGATGCTGATGATGCTTCTGCTGACGATGATGATGATGACGATGATGATGATGATGAGGATGCTGACGCTGACGCTGATGCTAATGTGGTTGATGATAATGATAATGATGCTGATTGTGATGATACTGATGATGATGACGATCACGATGGTGGTGGTGGTGACGATGATGATGTGACGATGCTCGTGATGATGGTGCTTTTACTGCTACTGCTAATGCTGAAGACGATGATGATGCTGATGATGATGCTGATGCTGATCACGATGATGATGATGATGATGATGATGATGATGATGATGATGATGACGACGATGGTGATGTTACTGATGGTGGTGGTTAGGAGGATGATGACGATGGTGCGTCTGCTGCCGATGATGATGCTGCTGCTGATGATGGTGATGATGCTGCTGATGATGCTGATGATGACGATGATGGCGATACTGCTGCTGATGATGCTGATAATGATGATGATGATGATGATGATGCTGATGATGATGATGATGATGATGATGATGATGATAATGGGGATGATTCTGATGATGATGATGATGATGATGATGATGATGCTGATGATGATGATGATGATGATGATGGTGATGATGATGATGATGATGAAGATGATGATGATGATGATGATACTGCTGCTGGTGCTGATGCTTCCGGCGCTACCGCTGCTGCTGCTGACGACGATGACGATGACGATGATGATACTCATGATGAGGATGCTGATTATCCTGCTGACGATGATGATGTCGATGATGATGCGATGCTGATAATGATGATGATGATGATGATGATGATGATGATGATGATGATGATGATGATGATGATGATGATGATTATGATGATGATGATGATGATGATGATGATGATGAGGGTGAGGATGCGGAGGATGATGCGGCTGATGGTGATGATGACGATGTTGATGATGACGATGCTGATGCTGATGATGATGATGATGATGATGATGATGATGATGATGATGATGAGGATGGTGATGATGATGCTGATGATGATGAGGATGCGGATGATGCTGTTGCTGATGCTGCTGCTGATGATTCTGAATTTGATGCTGATGCTGCTGATGATGATGATGCTGATGACGATTATAATGATTATGATGACGATGCCGCTGCTGCTGCTGCTGACGGTGATGATGATATTCATGATGAGGATGTTGATCATGCTGATGACGATGATGCTGATGCTGCTGATGATGGTGGTGGTGGTGATGATGATGCTGCTCATGATGTTTATGCTGATTACGATGATGCTGATTACGATGATGATGACGATGACGATGACGATGACGATGATGATGATGATGATGATGATGATGATGATGATGATGATGGTGGTGGTGGTGATGATGATGATGAGTGTCATTGTGGTGACGGTGATGATTCTGATTATGATTATGATGATGATGATGATGATGATGATGATGATGATGATGATGATGATGATGATGATGATGATGATGATGCTGATGATGCTAATGCTGATGCTGATGCTGATGCTGATGCTGATGCTGATGCTGCTGATGATGGTGATGACGACGAGGATGATCACGACGATAATCAGCAGGAGCAGGAGGAGGATGGGAAGAAGGAGGAGGAGGAGGAGGAGGAGGAGGAGGAGGAGAAGGAGGCCGAGGAGGAGGAGGAGAAGGAGGGGCAGGAGGAGGAGGAGGAGGAGGAGGAGGAGGAGGAGGAGGAGGAGGAGCAGGAGCAGGAGGAGGAGGAGGAGGAGGAGGAGGAGGAGTAAGATAAAGGCTGTCACACGTTACACACCTCGTCTTTACTATTTGAGGAGCTTGTAGAAGTCGTTTGCGCCGTCTTGGGGCTGTCTTGGCCTCCTCTGAGGCAGTCTTGGGGGTCCATTGAGGTCCTCTTGGGCTGTCTTGGAGCCCTCTTAGGCCGTCGTGGGGCTCTCTTGGGCTGTCTTTGGGCCTTCTTGGCCTGTTGGTGGTGTCTCGGGGCCGTCGTGGGGCCATCTTGGCGCCGTCTTGAGCAGTCGAGATGGGCCCTCTTGAGGCCGTTTTCGGTCTCGCGAGGACTCGGGGGGGGGGGGATACATGGGTTCAGTCCGAGCGGCGTGGACTCAACCCTGGATGTCCGAGCCATCACCAACCCCAGGAGCAGGGAGGAGGGCGCCCGACCCTGGAGGACTCAACCCTGGAGGAGGGAGGAGGAGGGCGACCGACCGACCGATCCACCGACGACGACCTGCCGACAGCGAGCGACGACGGCGACGCGCTCGCGGGCGGCGTGCGCCCGGCCTGCCGCTGGCCACCGCCGGCGGCGCCGGGCCCGCCGCTGGGCGGCGGCGTTGGGCGTTGGGCGTGCCCGTGCGCTTCTTGATCCCGTTCGGTCGGACACGGCCTCTCCTTAGGTCGGGCGTGTCCCTCTACAGGAGGAGTATGTAAGAATAATTCGAAAATGGTCCGGGGAATTCTTTTATGTTTTTTTTGTTTCTCGTCCAAAAGCCGCCTGTAGGGGGACATGCCCGACCTGAGCCTCTTATCGGTGGTTCAAAGATGGGGTCCTGAGGGATGGGGTCCTGAGGACAAGGTGCCTCAAGCAGTACAAATCCACCCTTGGGCTCCTTCCCATCCTTAGAACCCCATCCCTCAGGACCCCATCTCTGAAACATCGATCTTTTCCGGCCGAGCCAGCTCAGTTTGGTGATTCTCCCTGCGGCTCTCTTGTCAGTGGCGGGCGGGGAGATCGCCAAGCCAGGGTCTCTCTCTCTCTCTCTCTGTCCCTCTCTTTGCTTCTCTTCGTCGTCGTCGTCGACGCCGCCGCCGTCGTAGTCGCCCGTCGGTGCTTTTCGTTTGAAATTCCTTCGAATCTTAGCAGGTAGTTCGTTGGACCGCCGCTGTGTCCTCGTACATTCGCCCTCCTTCTTCCTCCGTCCCCCTCCCCGCTTCGGCGATCTCCCCGTCGCCCCATCCTTCCTCCGCCCTCCCCGTCCATATGTTTTCACTTTGCGTTCCTCTGTCCTCCCTCTACCCTCCGCCTCGTCGTCTATCCTCCTTTTGCGCCCGCCTGCTCCCTCCGCTGTGCCTCTTCCCGACCTCCCCCTATCAGTTCCTGCCATTTCCCGCCTTCCCCTCCTCCACTTGTCCTGCCATTTCCTGCGTTTATCTAGCCTCTGGGCGCCATTTTCCTATTAACGCCAGAAGTTCGACCCTGGGGGCCCCGGGTCGCAGCGCGCGCATGGAGCCCAGGGTCCTCTGAGTGGCGCCTCTCCATGCCCCCCCCCGAAATTCCCAGGGGGTCCCGGGGCGGTGCAGAAGTTCCAAGAGGGCTTCGTGGCGGTCCCAAGGAGCTCCCGTGCTGCCCCGGGCAGTCTCCGGCGGCGCGCCGAAGGCTCAAGAAGCTGCCGGTGTGCCCGCGCAGGACAGTCAAAAACCAAAACGATTCCCTCCGCCGTGTGTTCTGTTCTCGAGTTCGAAACTGACCAGAAGGATGGCCCAGGAATGCCGCGAATGCCAAGGTGCGGCCGTCTTGTGGCGGTCTTGGGGGCCTCTTGGGACGTCCTGGAGCGTCGGCTCGTAGAAAACTGGACACTCCCAAAAACATGGGAAAATAATGGAAAACTAATGATTGTGGCCTCTCGCCAAGCCCAGGGGGCACGCGCCAAGCCCGGGAATATTTGGCAAGTTGGGGTCCAGGTTCTCAAAGTGTCTTCAGGATTGAGGACTGAAGGTTGATTACGGGATTAGGCAAGGCGCCTGATGGCGTGCCTGGCGCATGGCGGCGCATTCATCTTGGGGGGTGGCGGGTCTCTTGAGCCATCTTGGACCGTCTTGGGGGCCTCCCAGGGTCCTTTTGGTCTGTCGTGGGCCCTTCCTGGGCGGGGTTGCCGGCTTGGAGGCCCACGCGAAGCACCCCAGGAGCGCCCGAGAAGCCTGAAGAGCCAGGGGTCTGGGCCCTCGAAAACTCTAGAGACCCTCTGCCTTTCAGGGCTGCATGGGCCTTGGGGCCCCCCACTTCGTGCGGAAGTCACGGTGGCGGATTAAGATACAGAAGCCCTACCAGACAGCATTTGGCAGTTTTTCACGCCTCAATGTGCCAGAGGGCACGGTGGCGGACACCGCTGTGCTCGTGCCCGTGCTTCTGCTCACCAGCAGTGGCCCCGGAGCGGCTGCCATAAAGGCCCTCCGGCAGACGCTGCACGCCCGCCCGAACACGACGCAGCGGAGCGTTGCGTGCGATGGGTCTGGGCTCAGTGCGACTGTCAGTCGGCCGGGAGATGCCGATTACGACACCTCGAGGATCTGGAGGCAGGAAGGGGGTATGGTGTAAAGGGGCGTGGTGCTAATTTTACATCAAGGGGAATCTGGCGATGTTGTCTTTCGCAAGCAGCATCGCCATTTCTACGATTGGCACCATACCCCTTTATGCCACAACCCAATCGACCTCCAAAGAGGAGTCAGTTCGGATCTGTCATGGCGTCGTCGGCCACGGCCGACGCGAGGACGAAGCCGCAGATGATCATCTTTTGCAGCTCGGACGCCCACGTCCAGGAGGCGGTCTCCCTCGCCGAGACCTGTGGCTTCACCATCTCGGTGCGGAGCGGCGGGCACAACTATGAAGGGAACGAAGAATGACGTACACATAAAAACTCGGAGGTCCGCGCGGATTTCTCGGATCCGCGCTGGACCCCGCTGGCGGCGCCTCTGACGCCGCCCCTGGCGCGCTCCGCGCGCCAGGGAGGGGGTCCAGCGCCGATCCGAGAAATCCGCGCGGACCTCAGAGTTTTTATGTTTATGTCATTCTTCGTTCCCCTAACTATGCAGCCTACTCCTCCTGTCCGGAGAGCAGCCCGCAGTGCATCCAGGTGGGCGGCGCAGGAAAAGGGTCGACGATTAATGATGATGATGGTGATGGTGATGGTGATGGTGATGGTGATGATGATGATGATGATGATGATGATGATGATGATGATGATGATGATGATGATGATGATAATGAGGATGCTGCTGATGATGATGATGCTGCTGATGATGATGATGTTGATGATGATGATGCTGATGGTGATGCTGATGCTGATGCTGATGCTGATGCTGATGATAATATTGTTGATGATGATAAGACTGATGATGATAATGATGATGATGATGATGATGATGATGATGATGATGATGATGATGATGATGATGATGATGATGTTGATGATGATGATGATGATGATTCTGATGCTGATGCTGATGCTGTTGCTGCTGATGATGCTGCTGCTGCTGCTGATGATGATGATGATGATGATGATGATGATGATGGTGATGGTGATGGTGATGGTGATAAGGATGACGATGCTGATGATGATAATAATACTAATAATAAGAATGATCCGGTGCAGTGCATCCAGGTGGGCAGCGCAGGAAAGGGTTCGACGATCCTGAGGATGTGAGTTGGCCCAGTGTGTGTCTTCCCGCGGCCAGCCTCGCCGATGGCACGCCGCCTGCGCCGGCCCTCACCACACCGCCTGCGTTGTACCGTAGGGCTCTGGCGGGCAAGCGCGCGTTGGCGTTAAGTCGGGCGTGTCCCTCTACAGGAGGACTATTCAGAAGCAGTTGAGCAATAGTCTGGGGACGATTTTCCGACCATTGTTTATCATTCTTTGCGCATTTTTTGCGCATTCTCTATTTTTCATCCAAAACCCGCCTGTAGGAGGAGGGTATGCCCGACTTAACGGTGGCGCCAGCACTCGTCCCGAAGATCATCGGAAAGGGGTTTCGACTGCGCGGGCGGTCGCGCGTAAGGTGCCCCACCAGGCTGCGCATGAGCGCCCTCTTCTCCGCATGGCGCGCCTCGGGAGTGGCCCGAGTATGCCATGGCGTTAGGTCGCCGCGACCTCACGCGTAAGACCCCTTTTCTCTTCGTCACCCAGGTGGACCTGTCTGCCATGGAGACGTTCAGCGTGGACTCGACGACAGTCCCAGCGCAGGTCACCCTTGGCGTCGGGCTTACCCTGGAACAGGTTTACGCGAACCTCATGCCATATGGGCTTGCCATTCCGGCTGGAATTTGCAAAGGCTGGCGGCGCGCACAAGCGGGCGGCGGGAAGGGGGGTGGCTTTCTAACAAGGCGGGGTGCTTGTCAGACGGGATGAGAGGTTTCCAGGAAGGTAGCCCATATTCCTCCCTACCTTCCAGAAGGCCCCCCACTTCCCTCCCCCGCTCCCCATAGTGCGCGCCATCAGAAAAGGTGTTGGCGTCGGTGGGCACTTCCAGTCCAGTGCTGCTGGTTACTACCAGAGGGCCTTCGGCCTCGGCATGGACAGCGTGACATCCTTCAGGATCGTCCTGGCCGACGGAGCGGTGCATACGATCACCGAGAGCTCGGACCCAGACTTGTACTGGGCAGTGCTGGGGGGTGGGCCGGGCAGTTGGGGGATCATCTTGGACTACACGGTGGATGGCTTTGCAGACGCGGACTACCCGCATTTCCAAACGTTTACGTTCTTGTACCCATACTCCCGCGCGGCGCTGCACCTCACGGGGAGCCTGTACAGCAGCCAGATGGCGGATACACTGGTGGAGAGGGACTTGTTGATCGTGTACCTGGTGCACCCAGGTGTGCTGATGGGCATTCCGGGGTCCACTAATGAGCACTACATCATGATACGATTCGTGTGGATGGGCATGGACAATGGTGCGTTGACGGGCTCGCTGTACGACACGTATGCGAAGCCATGGGTTGACATACCGCACATGACGCTGGCTCCTCTCATGTCGCTGCCGATCTCCGTGTTTCCCGGTGCTGTGGCGTCAGCTTATGATTTGGGCCCTTTCCGGTACCATATTCACTCCTTTGGAGCGAGGTCGTGGCCTGACACAGCATTTTTCGAGCAGGTGGCAGACGAGCTGGACGCCCGCGTCGCAATCCCCAACCTGCATTTCTCCTTCCAGTTCTTTCCTTTCGGTGGCCAGATGGACAGGAACGCGGGCAAGAATGCGTACGCCCTCAGGAATGTCAAGAACTGGGTCGATGATTGGGTCTTCTTCTTGGGTGACAGCCTGGCTCAGGTCGCCGAGGATCGAATCGTGGCCTTCCGGGCAGCAACCGGCCATCACTGGGCAGAGGACAACGTCCCTCACAGCTTCATGACCCCGGACACGCTTGTCAACAATACCCACAGCTCAGCTGCTGACTTCGCCATGAATGAGAGCTTCTTCGCACGCCTGCAGGATGTGAAGACCAGGGTCGACGCCGCCGACATCTTCCACATGGAAGTGACGATACCGCCCACCGCCTCCTCGGCCAGCGCCGTGGGAGACCCCCACCTGCAGAACATCCACGGCGAGCGGTTCGACCTGATGCAGCCCGGCAGGCACACCCTGCTCGAGATCCCGAGGCGCGCGGCTGCGGAGTCCGTGCTGCTGCTGGTCGAGGCGGAGGCGCGCCACGACGGCCCCGCGTGCGCGGACGTCTACTTCCGGGCGGTGAACATCACGGGGCAGTGGCCCGAGGCCGAGGCGAAGGGCGGGCTCCACTTTCACGCGCAGGGCGCTGCGGGCGCAAGGGCCGAGTGGATAAGCTTCGGTGGCGTCAGCCTGAAGGTCGCACACGGGCACACCCAGCAGGGCATCCGGTATCTGAACGTTTACGTCAGGCACCTCTCAGAGGCCAGCCTTCCCATTGGAGGGCTGCTCGGAGAGGACGACCACGAAATGGCTGCGACCCCTGTGACATACTGCCAGCGCAGCATTTCTCTCTTGTCGACTGGCTCAAGCGCGCTTGCTGCTTCGAGCGCAGAGGCAAGCCTGGAGTAGGTCGAATCACCTCTTGAGTGGCCCGCTTAGCGGACCAACGTTTGCTCTCCGCAGGAAGCACTTGTACACCCCCAGGAGTCACCTGGGCATCCCTACCGGCCATGACCACCGTGTGCTTTTGGATGGGGTTTTGATCCTCTTGGCCCGCGGATGATCGCCATGGCCAGGCATGGTGGTGGTGGTGCATAGGCGTTTTCTGTGTAAGCGGAGTGCCCTCGGTTTCCCCAACGCTGCGACGGACCACAGACTGCTTGTGAGGAACCGCCAAGGGCCCAAAATGTTATTGTAACCGCCAGGAGAGCAGCAGCAGGTGGAACAGCCTGAGAAGAGCGATCAGCACGAGCAGGAAATGGATGACATCAAAGAAGAGGAGGAGGAGGAGGGGGAGGATGAGGAGTTGGACGAGAAGGAGGAGGAGGAGGAGGAGGAGGAGGAGGAGGAGGAGGAGGAGGAGGGAGGAGGAGGAGGAGGAGGAGGAGGAGGAGGAGGAGGAGGACCGGTGTAAGTGTGCCAATAACCGGGAACCGGGTCCACGGCCCGGGCCGCCACCCCGACCGCAAATGTGTGTAACGGGCTGTTTGGGGCCCTGCCGGCGCGCCAGAGGCCTTCCAAGATGACCTGAAGACGGCCCGGATTGCTTGAAAACGCGCTTCGAGACCGCTAAAGCGGCCCATGACGGCCCCAGATTGGCCAGAATTGGCGCCACCATGTCCAAGAGGCCTCCAAGCTGCCCCAAGAGGCCCCCACGAGGCCTCCCAAGAGCTTCCACGAGGCCCGCCAAGAGGCAAAAGAGAGCTCCAAGACGGCCCCGAGAGGGCTCCAGGGCGGCCTAAGAGGCCTCCAAGACGGCCCCAGGGGCCCCCAAGACGATTCCAGAAAGGATGCAGACGGGCGGCCCAGACGGACATTTCGAGCCCTCGGCCCCAAGAGGCCTCCAGGAAGCTCTCAGAGAGTTCCAAGAACCCCTTAAGATACCCGAAGAGGCCTCCAAGAGGCCCCCGCGAGGCCTCCAAGATGTCTCACGAGGCCGCCACGAGGCCCCCCCCAAGAGTCAAATTCATGAATTGTTCGAAGGTTTCGACGGGTTCTCGCGTTCTCGCCTCTTCGGCTTCCCAACGCTTCAAGGCTGCCCGACATGCCTCAAAGAGGCCCCAAAGATCGCTCCAACACTGCCCAAGAGGCTCACAAGAGAGCCCCAAGACGCCCCGAGAGAGCTCCAAGACGGCCCGAGAGGGCTCCAAGACGGCCGAAGTGGCTTCCAAGACGGCCCCAGAGGCTTCAAGACGATTTCAGAGAGTGTTCAGACGGGGGCCCCGAACGAACATTTGAGCCCTCGGTCCAGAGAGGTCCCCCGGAAGCCCCGAGAGGCCCCAAGAAGCCCCCCAAGAGGCCGAAGAGGCTTCCAAGAAGCCCCCACGAGGTCTCCAGGAGGCCCCCACGAGGCCTCCAAGAGGCCCCCCAAAGAGCCAAATTCATTGATCCGTAAGAGCTTCGCCCCATGCCGCCGGCCCCCTGTCTCGGATAATGGGAGATGCAAAAGCTAAATCATGAGGTCTGGGCGCCGCCGTGAAGCAGTGTCGGGACCTGTTTGTTTTTCGACCCTGACCCTATGGGTCTGCGTGAGGGGTGCCGCCGGATTTCAGAAATGTGGCAAATCCCCTGTGTTTTTGGACCCTGACCTTCCGGATCTGCTTGATGGGTGCCGCCGAATGTCAGAAGTGTGGCAAATCCCCTGTGTTTTTGGACCCTGACCCTGCCGATCTGCGTGAGGGGTGCCGCCGAATTTTCGACATGTGGCAAATCCCTTGTGTTTGTGGACCCTGACCCTGCCGATCTGCGTGAGGGGTGCCACCGGATTTTATTTGAACCCTGGCCTCGCCGATCTGCGTGAGGGGTGCCACCGAATGTCAGAAATGTGGCACATCCTTTGTGTTTTTGGACCCCGACCCCGCCGATCTGCGTGAGGGGTGCCACCGAATGTCAGAAATGTGGCGAATCCTATGTGTTTTTGGACTCTGACCCTGCCGATCTGCGTGAGGGGTGCCAGCGCATTTCAGAAATGTGGCAAATCCCTTATGTTTTTGCACCCTGACCCCGCCGATCTGAGTGAGGGGTGCCACCGAATGTCAGAAATGTGGCGAATCCTATGTGTTTTTGGACCCTGACCCTGCCGATCTGCGTGAGGGGTGCCGCCGAATTTTCGAAATGTGGCAAATCCCTTATGTTTTTGAACCCTGACCTCGCCGATCTGCGTGTGTTTTTGGACCCTGACCTTACGGATCTGTTTGAGGGGTGCCGCCGAATTTTCGAAATGTGGCAAATCCTTTGTGTTTTTGGACCCTGACCCCGCAGATCTGCGTGCGGGGTGGTTAATTTTTTAACCACCCCAGCAATTCAGAGCACGCTCAGGGCGTGGTAGAAATGTCCGTTTTGGGCCTTCCCCCCTCGCGCGGTCCATCAACAAGGAACAGTAAGCAGCAATAGGCAGAACTGTAACAGTGGAGCTGGAAGCTGAAATTGGTACAGGAAACTGCGAAGCTTCGGCCTACAGCCTGGTGGCCCCACAAGGCAGGCGGATTTTTCAAGGTTTTGAGGAATTGCAAAGGCCTTACGGCTGGCGCCACCGACCCTGAATGGCGACGACGACGACGACGACGACGAGCGCTCTCGGGGGCCTCTTGGGGGTCGTTTGGGGGCCTCTTGGGAAGCTCTTGGGGCCGCTTGGAAGCCTCGTGGGGGCCTCTTGGGGCTTCCTGGGAATCTCTTGGGGGCTTCTTGGGACTTCTTGGGGGGCTTCTTAGGGACCTCTGAGAGCCTCCTGAGAGCTTCTCAGGCCGAGGGCTCGAAATGTCCGTTCGGGTCCCCCGTCTGGGCTCCTCCTTGGAGCCGTCTTTGGGGCCTCTTAGGCTGTCTTGGATGCCTCTTGGTCGGTCTTGGGGCCCTCTTGGGTCGTTTTGGGGCTCTCTTGGAGGCCTCTTGGGCCATCTTGGGGTGGTCTTGGGGGCTTCTTGGCCTGTCTTGGAGCGTCGGGAAGCTGACAAGGCGAGAATGCCGAAATCACCAACAAATTTTAGGGAAATCTATGATTTTTGCCCCTTGGGACCCTCTTGGAAGTCCTCTTGGAGGCCTCTTGGGGCGTTTTGGAAACCTTTTGAGCCGTCTGGAGGCTACTTTGGCGACTTGGACCGATACTTCGGCGATTCGGGGCCCTCGAGGACCGTCTTGGAGGCATATTGGGGCAGATTTGCCGCGTCCTGCGGCTTCTCTTGGCCGCCCAACCGCCAGAGGGGGAGTCGTATTTGCCCCGGGACCCCCCCCAGGACCCCTCCCCCAGGACCCCCTCCCGGGACCCCTCCCCGGGACCTCACCCCCGGGACCCTCCCCCCCCCTGCGGGGAAGGGATCAAAGGGAACGGGCTCCCCGTCGACTCAACTACAACGTTGCTCAATTTCGCTGTGGCTGGCGCGCTCAAGGACGAGAACCCGGTGAAAGCGGGGGGAACGGCGACGGGCCTAGGGAAAAGGGGGGAAGCGAGCGGCGAAGGCGACGACGACGACAACGACGACGACGGCGACGACGACGCCGACGACGACGAGTCAAACGGAACAGCCTCTTCCACACGCCGACAGGGTCGGCGGATATTCGCGTTCTCGCCTGTACAGCTTTCCGACGCTCCAAGGCGGGACCAAGATGCCTCCAAGACCACACCAACACTGCCCACGAGGCCCCCAAGAGCGCCCCAAACCACTTCAAGAGTTCCCCAAGAGAGCCCCAGAGGCCTCCAAGGCGGCCCCACAGCAGCCCCAGGAGGACCCTCGCACGGCCAAAGACGGCTCAAAAAATGATCTACGCGGCCCTATTGCGGCCCCAAGAGGGCCCCACAAGAGCGT